TCGACTTAACGCCATTAACTCTGACACAGCACCTGCTATCAGAATACATTGACTGGATGGCCCTCAGCAATTTGCCATCAATCCCGTATGCACGAAGGCATGTCCACAGACTGTTGCGTGAGATCCGGTCATATGCTTTCTCTAGGTCCACAAAACACATGTACTCCGGCTGGGCGTACTCCCACGATTTTTCAACAATCTGGAGGAGGGCAAATATGTGGTCAGAGGTGCTTCGACCGGGCCGGAAGCCACACTGCCCTTGTATTTTGAGGTCAGTTATTTCGCGGCACCTCCTTTCTTGCACCTTTGCGTAGACTTTACCTGCTAGGCTCAATAGCGTAATGCCCCTATAATTGTAGCATTCCTTGTGGTCTCCCTTCTTGAATACTGGTACAACTCCTGTTCTCCAGTCGGTTGGTGTCTTTCCCACAGTCTGACAGACAAGTGTAAGACACGTTTCTCGCAGTTTGACAGACACGTGTTAGCCAGCACATGCCTTGTTCGCCTAATGCCTTGAGCATCTCAGGGCGGATTTCGTGAATTCCGGGATTTTTTTCCACCTTTCAAGCTTTTCACAGCTTGTGTAATTTCATCTTCAGAAATAGTAATATCCGTTCCTTGCTGCTCTACAGGCTAGTCTTCCTGCGGTTGCCCGGGGTTAAGCAGTTCCTCAAAATACTCCCTCCATCGCCGAAGAATGCCATCATCTTTTGTAAGAGGGTGTCCAGACGTGTCCTTCAAGATTCTTAGACTGTCCTTCTTTTCACCTCAGAGCCGGCGGATGGTTTGCTAGAATACTTTGTTTCCTGTCTGGGAATTTGGCTCCGACACGTCGCCGAACCACCCAAGAATCAGATTTGGCTTTCGCCTCTGTTTTCGGTGTCACCTTTTGCGCTTTTACTTATCGTTTGCGAGTTGTAAGCTCTTTCTTTTTAGGCCATTTTTTGAATGTCGCGTTCTCTTTCACTGCCAGTTGCATCTTTCATATGGAAGTTCTTTCTTTTCTGACCTGTTGGTAGCAGGTGAACCCGTTAAATCCGCACCATTCGACGACAGCCCCGAGTGCTTTGTTTTGAATAACAGTTCACTCGGTTTCCACATCAGCGGTCATCACGGGGATCAGTTCAGATGGTCGTGTGATGTTGATTGCAAGTTTTGTCCTGGCATACGTAGATGATAATGTTCCCCAGATGAATATCTGGTTACTTTTCCCGCCAGGTGTTCGCCTTCATCGCTTACAGTGCGTGCAGCTGGATTATGATTATTTAAGAGCTCTGTGCCTATGTTACTGTAAACATTCATTATAAGAGATCGAAAGTCAGGTGATACAATTATTAAATCGTTGAATTACTTTGCTGCACAAGCGTCCATTTATTACCAGATAAAATGATGCATGTTTCGATGCGCCAAGGTGTTTTGCACACAGCCGCGAAAGTTTCGCGCCATTATTGTTGAGGTCGCTAAAGTCGTTCTTTCTAATCACGTCTTTCCACTTTTCAGTGTCTTCTCTGACATGCGTATTAAAATCGCCTATTAGAATGTGGGACTCCATGATCAGCACCACGTACAGAACACTCCACTTCCTCAAGAAAATACTCATATTCTGCATCGAAATTTAGCGCATAGGCCTGTTACAAAGTCAACATTATCGCCTCTTGTAGTTTCAGTCAGAGGATTGCCACCCGTTCGTTGACAGTCTTCCTTAGGTGATTCTGTCAGCCAGGTTGGTTTATACTAGAACAACACTCTCGACGCTAATGGCTTCCACTCGTAGTAGTTCAGGATTCCGGACCCTTTGCGTTTCGTTGATGTGGATGCAACTCTGTTGAGTTAAATCCTTTCGCGCTCATAAATTCGCTCATGCTTTTTCCCTCTGAGTGAGAATATATTTTAATTTTCGACAGTATGCTTTCACGGGTGGTTTCGTTTGTGACGTGCTAAAATGGCATCGGGCTGTCTGCCTCTTCTGTTCAGAATGTGTAGCGGCCCCGCTGCAGATTGGTATCTTCGTCGTATATATGTATGTATGTAACGAATTACTCTTCTAAGACTAGATTTCACGGCGTATTTGCGACCCCTTTCTATATGCTTCTTTTGCGACCTTGTGTGTGATGAAATACGCCGTGAAATCTGGTATTGGGCGATTCATTCGTCGTTTCACATACTCGGGCGTGCGTACAACTTGATGTGTATATTTCTGCGCCACCCTGTGAAATCGAATGTGGGTCATATGAAACACGCACGGGGCATGTGGCAGAATTTTGCTAAGCTGATTCTGATTGAGTAATAGGATTTTTTGCTTGCGGTTATGATAATCTGAGAAATTCGGCGTAATGACTTTGTTTCAACTGAAACGAGGCATAGACTTAAAGAGCTTCATCAAGTAGAATTTCTCAGCTATCAGAAATGAAATAACGATGAATGTTATTTGTCTGTTAATATCTGTTTAGCACCATTCCGTCTAATTCTCAGTAGGTGTTGCTGGTGAGCCATATTCTTTGCTGATAGGGAAACGAAGAAATTTTATGCGCGCTCGGTTAGTGGACTAGTATGATAGCGATTCGTGGTCTACCCAGGGATTTTCGTCAGAAATTAATCTGCTTCAAGAGTGCTTGATCTGCCCTTGCTAGAAAGTACGAGAGCATAAAAAGTTCACTAATGAAAAATATATAGCGAAATACTCATACTTGAAATCTGAAGATTGTTCTTTCATGCGGGAGATTAAGTCCATCTTTTCCCTCTTTCTTAGGGATTTCTTCGTACAGATTTTGCTCGAGAATTTACCGACAGATTTTCCCAAAGCCAAGTTGACTCTGGTTAAACGTTTTTTATCATTCTGTCTTAACAGCAAACCAGATATGGCAAAATTCTCTAAGGTTTATATACGGAACAGTCACGTCGAAAGCGCGAACTATGCCCTAAATAAACCCCGATATTATGGGTTTGGTAGCAAACTACCAGTTTTCATACCACCCGTAAGAATAACAATCTCCTGTCACTACTGTGTTCATTCATTCATTCATTCCATTACATTACATTACATTCGTTCATTTATAACGTTCTTCTGTCTGCGGATGCTAAAATGCCATAAACTCGAAGCCTGCTTAAATGGTCCCATGGGCTACTAGAAGCTAGGGGGCAATGCGCTACGCCGTGTAAATCCGGCGAATGACACGAGAAACTTATTCGCTACATCAGCGTATATCTGTTACCGTCTATTGCGGTAATCCGTCCAAACCGGTAGTGAATGAAACTAGTTTGCTTTTCACTCCAAGGTGGTAACCTTTAGCGGTAACCGCGTAATTGGTAGTTATTGCAGCTGAATCGTGCTGCGCTTGATCTAGATGTCAAGTAGCCCATATTGGATTGAATGGATTGCTTTTCTGGCGGTAACATATATATGGTTCCGATACCGTTCAAACAGAATTGGCCGTATAGTAGTATATTTGATAGGGCATACATGGCTTCCGCGGAACTTCATCTGTACGAAGGATTCACCATGGGTCGCGCATAAATGAATCATCAACTACTCTTAATAATCTCATCTTTTAGATGAGCAGTCGATTTATGATAGTACTTGGCAAACCTGCATGTGTCGACCACTGTTATAGTTATTGTTAAAAGTTTTTAAACTGTTTGCATTATGTTTATTCCTCGCTAGGGTCTTCAGAGGGTTTATTCGTAGATGAATCTTAGTTATCATAATCCCGACGTTTCGCATCGAACTAGTTCTATTTTCAGGCAACATTAAGTCGATGGATCTGACTCGCTCCGAAATGTGGGAGTTATGTTAAATAAAATTTATATGCGGATTTAACCTTGTGAAAATCATGGTGATGACAAATATATGCAATCTTTTTAAAATGATTTTTGTTTCTAAAACATTCATTTCTGCGAAGAAACTGGAACTACGCTGTACCGAAATTCCTGTCTAATTCGCAGATTTTCTGTGAGATAGCCATCCGCATAAGGTATATATAAATCTTTTAACAGTTGAATTTTTTCCTTTTGTTGAACGTGTTTTAGGACACTTCTTTTGGTGCTGCTCTCGTAGTTAACGAATAGCTATTGCTACTCATGTTTCAGGTATGGGCTACCAACCGTGGCTTCGCGATGATCCTGAATCAACTCTGATCTACTTTAACAAATCTGATTCTCAGTCTTATGCAAAGTACACTAGGCAGCTTAAGAAATTCTATGAAAGTATTCCTTTATTAGTCCTCTGCATTAGTATTCTGTGCCGTGCTCTTAGAATATAATAATCACAACTACACCAGGAAGTGCGTCGGCAACCAGAGCAACCGCGATAACGATGAGCTGGCATGCATGTTCGATCTGATCGCCGACTTCGAGAGGGAGGGCTGTGGGGAAAGCGACGATTTCGGATTCATGCACGGCCACCCATGCGTCATTCTGACGTTGAACAAGGTGAGGCGGCGCCGCACACTCCGCTCGATCTGGCGTTCTTTTCACCGCAGTCTGCTATTTTTTAGCTTATCGGTTGGGAGCCGGTTTCCTATCCGAGGGACTCGGCGCCGGAGGTCATCCGAAGATACTACGATTACAACAAAGCCGACATCGGTATCCATTGCGAGGGCGAGGTAGGTGTTGTCGCCGTTCTCGAAGTCGACATTGTCGCAGTTTGTCGTTTGTTGTCTGTTGTTTGTCATGCTTGTGCGCCACACTGTCCATTTAGCACCAGTCGGACCAGGAGAATATCGGCGTTATCAAATATATTCCGCCAACCGGTATCCCGTCCAAGTATTTTCCGTATCGCGTCATGAAAAACTACCATCAACCCTTCGTAAGTGCTTGACTGTGTTCTATGATGTTCGCATATTTGGTATACTACCTATTAATAACCGTTTAAACTGTAGTCGATTCCTGACCAGAATTATGTGAATCTTCAGTTGGTTGATTCATGGTCAGTCGGATTGCAGTAAACCCAAAAGAACAGCGATATTTTATTGTTCACCGACGAGTTTCGTTACTGAAAACCGGTGACATCCTCAGGGTGCATGCCCACATTAATTGATCACAGACAGCACAGAATTTCTACTCAGATGCGGGAAGGTGGGAACAGTAAAATCTGGCAGATTTTCTCAGACGTTGTCATCAGTTATTTTTCCATTTGTCATTCACAAGCTGTTTAGCTGTATTCATTTATCACTCAGTGGTTGGATTAGATTACCGATTGCGCCCAAGGAAGTTGACTGTTCATTGTTCAGCTGTTTTGTATGCGCAAGAATATACATTGACTGCATAGTTAATAAATATAACTTGCCGTTGCCCCGGTCAACTACCGAATCAGCGGTATCGCTCAGTACATAAACCATCTGATATTAAATGCTGTGCGATGTCGGATGTATTGCATGTCCATGGTGTTTACAGTTAAGGTTTATTCATACGCCTACACGTTTTGCCAGCATATATCTGATCACAGTTAACTGTACTTCAAGGACATCGTTGTCACTGCAAGGACTGTATTCCTCATGTGATAAATTCGCAATCGTGACACCATACGTAAAACTTGAACTAGACTAATTAAAAATTTTCGTACCGGTTTTAAATCATACGAATAAAACGAATGGACAGTGTGAGTCTTTTACTCGAAACTGCGGGCAGTAGATCTTTTAATTTGTTTAATAGGTATCCGTTTTTCCAGAAGGCAGTTTCATAGTGGGTTTATCTCGTCATTCAGGTAGTTTGGCAGATTGCATACGGTCATGGCTCGCAGACACGTATTGTTGATATGCTGTTAAAGTGGTGAGCTCGAACTTCGATCGAACTGTCCGTTTCAGCGCGTTTCCTTTATGTTGAACAGATAACAGCTGACTGTACAGTCCAAGTTTCCAACTACAGACCGACCCCGATTTATTAATGGTAATGTTCTGCCAAACTTTACGTACGTAAGTCGAATTTAACCCCCTACCTCCATGTTGTTGATTTGTTTACAGTGTGTTTACTCTATTTACAATGGTGCATCATGTGTTAAAGTTTATTTCTGTTGGTTTCTTCACGGGATTCACACAAATTAGATTGCAGTATGCAGTTGTCAGTGCAAATATGAGAAAATAAAGATATTAGGCAATGTCTAATTTGGCCGTTCGCCATCCTTATGAAATTATCAAGAGATGTATCTCCTTTTTTCTTGGTAACAAGCTAAATTGTTTTCTGAATCTATTTCTGTTTGAACTTTTAAGAACCGTCAAACAATAGGATGCATGTTCTTCATTTGTGCCATTCCTGCTGGAATGTCACAGAACGCGATTGTCATCTCTTGCACGAAACGTCTCGGTTTCTCTTCTGATTCCGAAGCCTCGCTCTCAAAAACTTTTGCTGCTTTGAACTCACTGTCTTCGTCATTTGACAATTGATCCGCATTTGAATCCTTCACAGTTGTTTTCGCTGTTGATGGTGCAAGATCACGCCGTGCGGCCGTTAAGCTTTGTCCACCTTCATCTTTATTTATAATTTTCATTTTCATATAGAAATGAATTTTTTTTTGCGTTTTCCCATGGATTATTTTTTCCACTTTTCCTTTTCCAATCATCATTGTACTTTGCCAATCAAGCAAACTCTAAACTCATGATAGTGTATAAATATACAAAGACACAGTGCACCCGTGTTAAGCAGTAAACAAAGCGAGACAGATGAACGCGCATGCACCACGTCGTTTGGTGGCGTGGCAATAACGTAGGCACCGTAC